AGTAGTCTACTTGATAAATGAGGAAGGCTACTAAATTACATCCAAGAAGCGTTTACCTTAAACTTTAAACACTGTTTACAATTTAACATCCAGAACTAAGAAATTGTTTACTTCTATATTTATTAAATTTAAACCAGAGTCTCGATGTAATCAATGTGAATTACAAAAACACCATTCTGTGGAATAACTCTAATCAATCAATTTATATTGTGGGTGATTCCCTCCTATAATTAATTTGAAACAATGAAACACAAAGCTCTGAAAGCGACTGGTCTGTAGCAATTAAACCACCCTTAGAGTTTTTATATTTTTAATATATATTTTACATAAATATTAATTTTGCACGGCTGTGTTTATTTCGTTAATATTTTTAATTGTAATTTAATGACTGCTCTTTATCATTAGTTTAATATTCTTAATGAACGACAGCACTCAACACGCAAGGCGGACGTTTTAATCAAATAATTTAGAAAGTCTCTAACATTATTAGGGCGAAGTGAATAATACATTTAAGGAATGATTCAAAACATGCAAACTCTCATACCTTCAATATAAACTAGACATAACTTACACGGTAACAACTGTTTTAATTCATTTACATGATGTATTTAGTGATTTAGAATCTATTCTTGAATGTATACAACCAAACACCATCGTTTAATTTGAGACGAACGTAAAAAGATGTGTAACTTTGTGTTTATCAAAGTGGCACTACTAATGACAGAGTGCACACAGACAGTACTCGAACCGTTTTATCCCCATTTAATGTCCTTTCGTAGCCACTCTTATAACAAAGGCTGTGAGAAAATTAATACTATCATGCATTTAAAAGAAAAAATGAGACTTTCATTATTCGCTTTATAGAAGTGAAAGTCTTAGAATATAAATACATTAGCTTTTGTTCCTACAGTTTATACATTTTTAGAGGTACTTTATTTTATTGTAAAGTGTTTAAATCATATTCGACGACATTTTAATATTTAAAAAAACTTCACACAAAAAACAAACCATTACGAATTACTAAACAACTTTAAAGAAAATTTGTAGTTTTCCCAATTCGTTCGAATGCATGGTCTTACGTGTGTATATCTTTTAAAAATAAATGTTCACAACAATGACATGCTAAAGAATATCAGCATGAGATGATTTTATTCGAGACGAATACAAACACTGCCCCTTTAAAAACCGTAGCTAATTTAGTTTTGAATATATCCCGCGTCAAGTGATCGTCATCATTCTTATTACAGATCGTGTTTCAGGTTAATTATTATTTCAATATTACTAACTGTTACACACACTACATGTCAACTACTCAACGTTCTGATGAAAACAGTAAAGCATCATTATTCATTAAACACATGCCGTGAAGATCCCGCCGTATAATAGTTTTTATTATTCTTGTTAAATTTCAATAATCTCGGAGGTTTTTCACGACTCGTCGATCTAAATCCGTACTCGCGTTTGTTATAATTAGTCTCCCAGCAGCTGTGGGCCGGTCTCTCATGAACCGGACACATTTTTGTTTAGTTAACAAAATACTGTTTCATTCTACGTCATTCAGTAAGGATGCTGGAAATAATTTTATATCGCTATTATTAGCTAACATCAAACTCAATTGAAAATACTTTACGATATACACAGACGGAATGATACGACTCTGAGGAATGTAAAAATGTAATACAGCCAGTCGTCCTGACTACTAACACATGTAACGGGCCCGAAACGAGATATTACTGATCGTTCATTTATTTAAAGGTCGTGTACAATATACAGAATTATTATTGTAGATCGTTAACAACATCAAAATCAGGAAAATATTCAGGCTTCTGCTTCTCTTGTTACATAGATTATAATTAATCTTCTGCGTGTATAGTACCTACCTAATTCGGGCCGAGTTCTGTTTGCCGCATATGATACGACTTACATTACATACATTTGATAATTAAATGACAATTACAAAATAGCTAAAACGTCGTTAAAGTGTTTAATATGCTGGATGTGTCACTTGTAGTGATGTTAATTAATTAAACTGCTAGCAGGAATTTCATTATTTAGTAAAGTCGAGGCTCCATAATGGATTTAACTTTAATGATGACAAATATTACGTAAAAATTAAAGTTTTGTCTTTAAATATTGAACATGTACTATACATATACTATTTATATTATTTAATGGTTGCCGTAACTTTTTACACACGGCACACCGATAGCTATGGCTTGTAAAAATTTAAAATAATTTCCTTACATTTAAATGAAAGTAATATTTTTGGTTTACGACCTGTTATTTTATTATTTTTAAAACTACATATATATTCCCGACGTTTCGGTTAGTTTGTTTTAGTAACCAAAACGCCGAGAGAACATCCAGAAATATTAGTTTCATTTTAACAAATACTCTAGAAAGTCTTAGATCTCATGATTTTCTAACATTCATAGTTCTCATCTTATGTAAAATTTTATTTCAACACATCTCACTAACCACGTAACATAAGTTGATATTTATTTCCTCACTTTGAATATTCGTTTATCCTTATATATAACTGTACTGCTAATATAATATCCTCCCCCTCCCCCCTCCCCACCCCACGTATATTCTGAAAGTTCTGTTAAATGTTTGTGGAGGCCCACACAGTTTTGTTATTCGTCGACACTTCGATTAGTATTATTAACTTGTTTATAATAATCGTCTAACACGCCCGTGTTATCACCCTTTTAATTATTTTGTAACTTTTGTATTTAATTAATTACAAAAATAAAGAAACCAGAGTAGCAATAACCCTTAATAGTTTATAATATAAGTCTAACAATCACACTACTGCCAGATCTCCTCATTTTTTATCTTAATATGAAGTCAATATATTTTCATAAGTTCTAGTGTGTTCACTCGTACAATGTTAGTCAATATCTTCAATTAATTTTTACTTTAAAAAACACATTTTGAATAATTCCAGGTTCTTAACTAAATGTAATATATATTATTGATATCGTATTTGGTAACCGTTATCAAATTAGAAGTCTTACAATATTATAAATATACATCAACTAATGGATTTAAGATGACTTGAAGAATCCTTTCTCCTTTAAGATACCTTATGTTCTGTATGAGTAACGTTTATATCTGTATACAGTTGTTATATATACGTATATCGAGTAGATACATTTCAGGTTTATCTTTTCATGATATGTTGGACTATAAGAAAGAATTATGATATTAAACTTAAACGGAAAGATTTTTTATTTTAGTGTTTTTATGGTTATGGTGTTAGAGTTGTTGTAACATGTTTTGGCTTTTATACACGGCACAGCTGTAGGAAATGAAGTCTTCTTGAGACACGTTTCAACCTGGTTGGCTTTAGACAACATCATCCTCTGACTGACTTACAACTTATATACATTATAAGCTACATTTAATATAGTGAACGTAAGTTCTATGATTATCTTTTTCTTATAGTAGTAACCCTGCGTTCCTTGGTTCAAGCTCTCCAAGCAGAAGACACGTTCGGTGATATACAACTAGGTATTCATGTCTGACGATAGTTCTAATAATAAAATGGTCCTCTCCATTACTATCCTCTCCCGCCCAATAAGTCAAAAAGAAAAAATTTTTGGTAAAAAGTTAATTTAAATTCTATTTTACAAGGAAGCACACTTGACTAATCAACAATGTACGTAAGTACGTGTGTACAAAACAATGTATTCAAACTACGAAACTAAATTCAAAACAATATTAATTGAGAAGTAGGAGCACGCGGCGCGCCGTACACACTACAATGTAATGAGTGTACGCTAACTCAAACACAATACATTCAAAATGTATGTGTATGTGTTTGTGTGTATGTGTTTGTGTTTGTGTGTGTCTGTGGTGGTTGGTAGTCAGTGGTTGTAATGTGACGGTCTCCAACACGCGACTAATCGATTAAGCGCCGTAGCTGACGGAGCGGCCGCTCACATGCTCCCGACCTCCGGCGTGTATTGTTTATGAAAGACGTCACATTTGTTTCATGTACTTTAAAATGACTTGTATTAGTAAGCAAGGTGTTCTCTCGCGTGTCCAAGTCCCCGTTCCGTTTCAGAACACGTTTATTTGTTTCTATTTCGGTAAATGAGTCCGGTGTTTCAGGGGACTGGAAATAGCGATTCGTCACCGTCGACGTCTTAACGATCCCTCTTGTTATTAAATATCCTAATTGTATGGTATGCGACCGTGTGCTACGACTGTGGTAAGGGAAAGTAAAAAAAACAATCTTAGCTGATTGGTACGAGGGTTATTCTCAAAGTACTTCCAGGGCCAATCTCAAACCGTTTCTCGCGTTTTCCAAAAAATTTTTGAAATCGCTTTAGAAGTTCCCGCGTTACATAACGATGGTATATTTTTGTAATACTTTACTTTTTATTATAATTTTATAAATATAAATTATGTCAAGTTTAAGAAACCTTGGCAACTTTTTTTTTGGTAACTACGTGTCATAATAATTTTATGATCTTATTTTGTTTAGTCATACATACGGTTTATTATAAAGTCTATAAAAACTGCAATACATTATTCAAAATATTGAAGACCTAAAGAAAAGATGTCAAGCACCTTTACCAAAACTTTTGGCATCTTGAAAGTGATGATTTCAAATCACACTTTAAACGAGTGAATTGACACATTTTAATATTAAGTGTTTATTTTGTTTTTCTTGCTTCATATCATACTCAACTTGTCCATTTATTTAAACTTTTTATGATAATTTATAACATAAATCGCTCGATCAGTGTAGACTAATAAAATTTATTAATGAAGTAACTGAGCCCTCAAGCCGCCGCTCCGTCGCTTATGACAATATTCATCAAATAAATGTTTTATATCATAAAGAACGCTGAGAAGTCAATAATGTATGTGCTCAATTATGTTACTCTAAAATTATTCATCAGAATATATGAACACTTGTCTTGAGTCAACATCGTATAAATTCAGAGTGACTGCTATGAGATTTAAATATTTCATACTAGGAGGTCATGAACCTCGGTCCACTGAGAAAACCTTCTGAAACTCGATTTCTACCAAACTTACCGAGGTATTAGGTGAGTAGGTATTACCAACGAAGCTAAACCCACATGAGCTATATTAATATAATGTGTACATAAAAATATTTTTCATTTTTATTCTCTCGCATTAACTTCAAGCTCTCTGATTAACATTAAGCTAAACCAATTAGTGTCGCAAACGCGTATCTTTAAGCTTATTTCTGTTATTTTTTTAATCATTTAAGTCATTTTATGTAATAAAGAATGTTGAAAGTATTAAAACTATTAAGTAAGTTCCAAATGCAGGTGTGGAGGGGGGTTCGACGTGTACGAGAGGGTGACGACCCCCAAAAACAATTACACTAGCTCACTTGCACACGAACTTGATACTATGCAGTGGACGTTTGTAGCTATACCAATCTTCATTTTCTGTGTTGCATTGTGTAGACATTGTGTTACAAGAATCATTAATATATGTTTTCATGTTTATTTTATTTACAAATAATGATTTTTTTAAGTTAGTAATGATAAAATACCATCAATGAAAATGAAACATTTGCTCGAGTGGTAGTTCGGTAATTAGCATCACAACCACTTGTGGAGTTAGTTACAGAGTGAGGAGAGAGACTGAAGAAATATAATAGTAGGAAAACATATACGACTAGTTGATGAAGGTATTCAGTGAGGTATTGTGTTGATCTTAAAATACAACTTAGAATTTATATTAAATGACGAGATTGAACCGATTATATAAACGACATTACTAACAAACGAAATAAAAACTACTGCTCTTTTTACACCACTAAATCATATTCTGTTATTTTCTATAAGATTAGTAAACATTGAAAACTCGTACAAATTATACATTAATTTTATATATGTTAATATTTTCATATATTATATGTACATGTTATATACGACAATATTATATCAGATGCTGAGAATAGTCGGAATAATAAGAAAATATGTTCGTTTTCAATAGTTGTACCAGCAACTGTGTCCGCCTATAATAATATTGTTTGGCAAATTTTTTTAATTATCTTATGTTTTTTTTGGATTGGGTTCGACACTTAAAGAATTAGGTATAAAAAAAATATTTCCCTATACGTGATGTTAAATACACAATGCTTTATGTACCATCTTCAAGCTTATGATACATACAGTAAAATACATCAATTACAGTGGGTATTAAAGTTGTGTCAAAATCTGTTTTCCATAAAAAATATTTATAATTTAAAATCTTTAATTTTATAATGAGTCAATTTTCAGTCGTTCTTAAAACAAATATGTTTATGGAAGTTCAGTGAATTAAATAATGAAATGGTCGAAGTGGTTCTTTATATTGGCTTAACTTTTTTTATTCATATTCCTCCATGGTAAGTGAACCTCTCCACAATATATTAGTGACAATCAAATCTCATTTAGTAAGTGGTATTTGAGATTACTGTAAGCTCGATCACAAACATATAGACAAACAGACGACAATGATTGTTTTTAAAACTTTTAGTCTTGATAACGGTTTACTTTTCCCATAAATATTTCAGTTTTACTATATGTAAAGATAAATAGAAGAAACTATGAACCGAAAAAGTATTTTTTTTCAGACTAAACTATAACAAGATAGTATTTTGATAATTCAATATATTAGATAGATCTCAAGAAACAAAGCTTGTAAATAAGTTACAAGATAATATAAAACATAAGAAACGGCTACGAGTGTGAATGTTGTCTGAACATGTTTGAAGATTTGTAAGTTAATTTAACATTCTGTCAGAAGTTGGTCGAGAACACGCGCAGGAACATGGAAACCATCTCATGTACGATATTATTTATTACAAAGTTCGCGGCGCTACGGAATGTGTTCCGATGTTATATTTACTTCAATATATATGAAATATTAGGTACTGAAATGTATCAAAAACTGAACATATAAGAAACAGAATACACTAGAGAGACCCGAACATTACCATCCATTTATAATTTATTTAATATGATACTATTTATATGTAAGATTTTCAATAGTACACATTTCAATGAATTGGCGTGATTCATCTCGTCTGCCCGAGATCACGTCTGCTGTAAAGTAACAGATACGTCGCGTCGGGTAAAATGTAACTGTACAATAAATCTCTTGGTGAATCCGAAAACTTAATCTCATTCTAACATAAAACTGTTTAGAAAAAAAAACGATAATTTGAAATCTTTATTAGGTACGATGTCTAAAAATGGAAGCGCTGAGTTTTTAATAATCTTTTAGATTGGTAGAAAATTTATGAGAAACAATTACTTTTAACAATTTATTTAAAATCAACCTCAAATTACAGCGACTTTTTACAATAAAGTTTAAAACAATTTTGTTACAATTAATGCAATTCATCAATTTTGGAAAAAAATATTTCAATTTAACTCCCGAACAAAGTGACAGTTCAAAATGACGAGAGCCGACCTTTCAAAACTGTGATGATTCAGCAGAAACACCAATTGTTAGACAATTCCTTTTCCCCAACTTCCCTCTCCGTTTACAAAATATGAAACGTGGTACTTAATCGTTCAAGTTATCAGCATATTTAAATCACAGTAGACAGTGTCGCGAACTTTTATGAGTCTGAGATCATTTTAAGATGGACATTAGGTAGACGAGATATTTATAATGAATAATTATCAACTATTCTTATGTTATACATATACATATAACATGCCGGCCAGGTTACTATGATCGGTGTTGGTGACTAATAACAGTTATATTACAACATCATGTCGTCTCATCATTTTGCATCTAAAACGACATTAACTGTGAGGTCTCGCTCGCCCGGTGTCGTCGACTCTTATTCTCTTTGAAGCGTCTTTGTTCCATTTTCTCGTGATAGGAATAAACAGAAAACTGATTTACTTTCACTTATGGTATACAACATGATAAAGGAGTTATTGTCTCGAGGAGTCGACCTCGCACCAGACATGACTTGATCACTAATACATTTTGTACCACACACACACATACACACACACGCATACATTACATACATACACACACATATACACATATGTAACATATTAGTTGTCAGAGAGTGTTCGCTGATAGTTTTGGAACGTGATTTGAGATATTTAGTAAAAATAATATATCGAATATTTTTCAATTGTTTGCAATAATATTAAAAAATAATTTTGTTACATACGTTTTAAGTCACATAATTTCATTAAAACTTTCTTATTATTTTATCTTACATTGAAACAATTATTTTTTACGTAAAACGTTTATTTAATAAATAGTATCCATTCAACTCTTCATATAGCAATATTTCTTCACACAAATGGGTACAGCAGTAAAAAACTGATGACATGCCCATATAACTTTTCACGGGAGGCTCACATTCCTCCCCCCCCCTGCCCCTCCTACCGACGCTCCCCCCCGTCACCCCGGAAAGCCGTCAGAAGCTATAGAGAAAACAGCAATGACATGCCGAAAAACGGATAAATGGAAAAGTTGATAAGATTTCTGAAGGAATGTGAGCTGAGTAGAGTAAATATATATGAAATAACTATTTTATGTTAAACTCGTTAAATAATTAATAATAAGTGATAGTTATAGCAAAAGAACTGAAATTATAATATGACGTTACGAATTATAAAATTTTACTATAGTTTTTACTACGTAGGACGTAGACATTAGTCAATTAATGTTAATACCATTGTATATTATTTCATTGTAAATGAGACCCGCCCTCGTAGTACGTGTAGTCATTGGTTGGTGAGTCTCCGTTATAGAAACAATATGTTAGTCCTCACAGACAGACATTAATCTGATGCTGACGAGCTGCAGGTGACACGGCACTAACACGACCAGCTGATAGAATGATGAGGAGCTCCGACAGACTGGACGATCATTAAAAAGATTATACTATTAGTTGATTAGAGCAACATTATATTCAATAATATAATGATTGAACGACTACCTTCAAACGATTTATATTCCTTTCTGGGAACACAAAAATCAAAGTACATTTTGTTTTCATTTTAATTATTATAAACGTCCCATTGCCGCTGCTAGGAACGTCTTTTATGACTAGAATTTATAAATTTTCGAAAGGTACCAATAAAGTTAATTAAATAAATGTGACGTCATACTTATTTTATTTATTTTAGAAGTATATTGAAATCTAAAAGATGTTATATTCAGTTATTGAAGAGATACTTTCTCCGTTTCGTCATTATAATGAAGCGAACGTTTCTCATCCGTCACCAGTTGCTCATATACATATATCCTGTTGATTGTTAAGGGTCCAGTACGGGTCCACAGTCAGCATGTTGTTCCTCCACTCTCCACTCTCCACAGTCCGTCCCCAGAGCTCGGGGCTCGCTCGTCAGTCAGTGTGTGTGAGGAGGTCGCCGGAGGTGCGCGTGTCGAGGAGAGTGTCGCGTCCTAACAATCTGTTCGTTAGTTAGATGATCTCAACGCGACCGGTGATGTGATCAAAGTTATATTACATAAAAACAGTGACGTCTTAAATAAAATGTTATAATTTAATTTCTTCCCTGTCAATGTGATTTAAATAATTTCGACGGAGTGATTATACATAATAAAACGACATTTTAAAGACAGTGTTTGATAAACTTTGTTAGAACTATTATAATAAAAAATAAAAACAAATACTAGAAGAGGATACGAAAGAGAAGACACGGGTAATTTCAATTAATAAAACAAAAAAAATATATATATAATTAAAATCGCCAAAGTTAATTAGTTAAATGAGTTAAACGTTACGAATACTCTTACATTTATAATAAAATCATAACTGAAAAATCTATAAAAGTTATTAAAATCAATCGTTGTGAACTTTCTGATGGAAAATGATTTGATTGTTTTCTTTACAGAAAAATTTACTTATTTTATTTACCTTTACAAATTTACATTTACTTCTAATATTAATATTACTCCGAAGTGTTTAAAGACTGTTTATTTCGTCCCTCGCATACAAAGTATTTATTAAAATTATTCAAAGTTTATCTCATTCTACAATTATTGTATTAAAGGATTTGTTTTCGTAAACCTCTCTAATTTTTCATGACGAGCTCAAAGGATTACAGTTGTTATCCTCGTCGGAGATTAAACCTACTTTATATTATACAGGTCTATACGCACACACTGTACGTACACGTACTGTTATAAAGCCTTCCTTACCATGTGTTGTGTACGTACATACAGAGCGACCGTAGTCGTGTGTCTACACATGTGTGGTAGAGGGATCACGGCTGCGTACGTACAATACTAGTGTGAGCATCATGTGTCTGTATTTTTGATGGCTTCTCAGAAACTGGTTCCTCTTCAGTTCATGAGAACGAATTGTTTTAAATAGATATACTGAAGTGTGACTTTAATAACACGACACATAAAATATCTCTTATTTTTTTTCATTATTATACTTTCGAAACCAAAAGTTTCTGTTATCGAGGAGAAAGAACATTTTATAATTTCAATTGGCCATAGTTATACTTTTATTAACATAAATACAATAATAATAATTATTAAAAAATGATCGACGTGAGCATTACTCGATCCTGTGTCTTCCGGGATGTAAAAAACTGGAACACAATATCCTTGACACATGCCAATATTCCTCAACCTGCAAAATACAATAAAATTACCTTTTATTTCATTTTGTTTCTCAGTACATTCAATAAGTTCATAGAGCCTCACACATACTTAATGTTGTTTTCAGAAATATACGAGTATAGTGCGTGTGTCCAAGTTTGCGGATAAGTTTTTATTTCTGCAACAAACAAAATGTTTTAGATTGTAAAGTTATTATGAATACGTTTTTTATTCAATGGGACAGTAATCAAAAAGTTTATTTTTAAATTTAAAACAATATCTTCACGTTTTAATATTGATATTAATATCATTTTTTTATGAATAACTAAATAAAGATAATGATCAAATAATTAATAAACAATTATAGCAAATATTCTCTCAATCATAACAGTTTATCATCAACATTTCATATTTTCTTAACTTGTCTTTATTGTGACAGAGTCCTTTCCGCTCGTGATTCTCTCGGTCACTCCTTCATGTCCACTGGCACTGCTTCATACACAAGGCTTATAGAACCTTACTTTGTTAATGAAAATAACATCAATTACTTATTTTATTAAATTTTCTTACTTCACGTGGGCGTCCGGTTGGTTTAAGTGTAATTTCTTTCCGCTGCTGCGACCACTTGAACTTTGCGAATATCCCTAACACAAAACTCGACAATGTTTAATCACTCACCCATACCCGCCCACAAACCTCCTACATTAATATGTATAAACCTTCAAATATAAATTATTTCCTCAAATCTACTTAGAACACTTATAATCATTAATTTTATTTGTGCTTGGCTCGAGTTCAATAACAACAAAATGTTTATTTTGTTCCTCTACGATTACAACAACAGTCATCAAACAATCCTGGAATGAACTTTCAATAATATTATTAAATGTAAAACTCAACTGTAAATAACATTCATCAATATAAACAACCAATATCCACCTGGTCCTAGACTCCTGTTTCTGATCCTTCGAACTTCTTATAACATAATACAATCTGTGTTTTTTCCGTCATCATAATGTATAGGTAACTAGACTTACAAATACCACATCATACATTTCCTTGATGTAGTTTTTACCTGATTGAATAAAGTAATCTAATGAAATGTTTACTTTTCCAGTAGACGGTTATAAGGAAATAATATAAAACAATATGTGAAACTGAATTAATAGGTTATTTTGTTTTTTTTTGAAAATTTTATCCGTAATGCAAATGTTCACTTTCAGGACTCTCTCTCAGGTGTGACTAATCCAAGTTCTGATCAGTAGAGCTGTGTCTTATTGTTCGTTATAACGGTATTCTACATATAAACTCATATTGTAAAGTGTGTCTCTCTTATAAATAACAGTTGTGTCTTATATCATGTTCAAACGTTTGAGAAGATGGAGATGTTAGTGTATATTATCTATAAATCTCATAATTTCGTTTGGTTTATTCAACATTGCTGATGCATTCTTGAGTAATATTTCCATCTGACTGTGTGTGGCCGTGTGTCGTTTAATAACTCTGATCTAACTAATCCGAGGGACAGTTTCGTGAAGTCGTCTCATCGATAGTTTAGTTCCATCCTAAATGTTGCTATTCTCATACTGCTCAATACTTTCAGAGTGCACAAAATAAACTAATCAATAACTACTGGAGCGCCTTCCGTTTCGTGATATCTGACCGGTCACGACACATTCACTATACTATCCACATCTTTGTTTCTATCACATTGTGTATCTATCACATATGGCTGTTTTGTTTTTATACATTACTAGCTTTTGCCGCGACTTCGTCGGCGTGGAATAGTGACTTCCGGCAGTTTATTGGTTCTTCCCACATAGTTCCCGTTCTTGCAGGGTTTTCGGAATGGTCGAGTTCCTGTAGAATTTTCAGGATAACACCTATGTTTTTTTTATTCACAATAAAGTACTCTTAACCAACAACATATTTATTTATTTATTTATTTGAATAAAGATTAATATTATTATGTTGATACACCTTAAACAAATTATTTCGACCAAATTAGATACCATAAAAACGGTTTTAGTTAATCTTAAAAGTCGCGGACTGTTTTTTAGATCATTAAAAGAGCTATTATTCTTTCATATATATTTTTTGTGTATCTTGAACCGTTTTCACGGCGCACGCAACGGCAGGCTTCAAAGATGAAATAATTTTTCCCGTTTTTTACCACTATATCTTTGCTCCTATTAGTCGTAGCGTGATGTTATATAGCCCACAGCCTTCCTCGATAACTAGACTATCCAACACAAAAAGAATTATTTAATTCGAACCTGTAGTTTAAGAGATTAGCTCTTTCAAACAAACAAACAAATTCTTCAGCTTTATAATATTAGTATAGATTAATATAATGTTATTCGTACTTTAGAGGAGAGTAAAGGGTGTGTTAAACCAATCAAAAATTAAATTAAAAGTTTAAAACTTCGCTGAGTATTATTGAATAAACTATTTGAGTATCATCTTGCAAACATAATAACTTACTTCACAATACTTTAGTTAAATGAAATACGTCACATGTATTTTATTGAATTGTAAACGTTAATAATGTTTGTATGAAACATATTTTTTTAACAAGTTCTATCTCATGAGACCTGATTCAAACACAAACACCACCATGTTACAGTGTGAGCTATTTAAAACGACATAACGTAACTCACCATTACATTCCATATTGAAGGGTGAATTTATCAGAATATCGTGGATCCGATCCTCTGTGTAACGGCCGACCACAAGTTATTAATGAAGCTCCTAATACTTATATTGTATTTTAGTTCTCAACTATTCATTGAGAAAATAGAATAGAATGTTGCGTACAAGATAAACAATAATTAAATTTTTGTTTCGATTTCGCGGTAAACAGAGTGAGTGACATACTCGTAGGTACTCGTCCGTTTTAAAAAAATTACTAAAACACATTCTTAGTACAAACAACTTAATTTTCATTAAGTAACTAATTTTCTATTTGATATGATCAAAAGTTACTCTTTATTTTTACTTTTTACAAATTGAATATTATGTTTTATTATATACATTTTAAGATATTACAACATCAATTACACTCAGTGACTGAAATAATTTATAAATTGTCACAACACAACACCTCACTAATGAAAAATGCAACACAACGTGTCTAAAAGACGACGGAACTCTCACAAACAATAAACAATCTTAAACAACTTTTGAAATATCGCCCTCCGAAGAACTTTTACAATTTGAAGGACGGATTGCGTCGTTGAATATTTAAGAAAAGGTTTTCAGGAAATAGTGGGAACAAAGTTAGTTGAAACGAACAGGGTGAGTGGCGATTATTAATAGTTTATAAATTAATTTAAAAGAACACACCAAGATTCTTTGATGTTACAGATACTCCTTTAACCAAAGAATGAGAATTGTTCTTAAAATAGCAAACGTCTACAACATTGAGGTTCGGCGCCGAAATGTTGCTTGTCATTATTATCCTCATGAGTCGTCTCTTAGATTGTTTATTAATTGTGTATTGTTGACCTTACTTCTAGGTTTTAAGAAAGAAAATGACACCAATATTTCATTAGTTGTTTTATTATCATTATATATTATATATACTCAATGTTAGTCACTATGTATTGAATGTAATATTGTCGTCATAGTTATGATGACAATCACTCAGAGAGTTTTTAATGTATGTAAATTATGACCACAACTCATGTTCTGTTGGACCCCCCACTGGCCCCCCACTGGCCCCCCACTGACCGTCCGTACCGTCAGTACAGGAGACTCCCGAGTCATTTGTATCTCGTGTATGACGCGTGAATGTTAAAGGACGCGGCGGTCTTCATTAACAGTTCTTTCACGTACTCGCTGTTTTGTTATCGTTGTTCCTCAACACTTTAACGACCTTTATTAATTTTGAAAGAAGATGACACAACTATTAGCTAATTCTGTTGTAATTTTTAATTTATTACAATATTTCTCTGAAACTTTACAAACAATTATAAAACAAACTAATAAAAATTGTGACAAATTTTCTTGTAAAAAAAAAAAATATCTTGGAAGAAAAACGAAATCAGATTTTTTTTGAAAATAGTTTAAATTACACACTTAAGCGCGATGTCAAACAACCTCTCACACTACAAACATGCACCGTTTACTGACTTTCCTAAAAAATGCAATTTTTTCTCTTGACTAATCCAAAGATATTGGAGACGTTAACGATAGCAGATCTTCTATATTTTTTAATATTCTGGCTGCTTAGTAAGCGAATAATAAGGATTTAATTTCAGGAAATGCTAATAATGTGATTGTTCTGTGTCATCTATCTTAATACAGACAGCTTCCACTTTTTATTCATAAACCTTGGTTCATATTCTTTATTCAATCAGCCGGCAACATTGTTAATTATTTTATATCGAGGTATCATAACCAAGTATCACAAGAGTAAATACAATGTTTTTTTTTTATAAATAAAAGAACAACAACTAAAACAATAAAGGTAGCAAATATGTTTTAATTGAGTCTTTGTGAGACACTATAGTGAAAACAAAACAAAACCCTTATTTATGATGAAGATTTGTTAATGTTTATTTATATTTTAAGAGTTGTTATAAACACTTAATGAAAAACATGTGATTTTATTATTACAAGGAAATCGTAACGTCTCTGATGTCTGTTTATAGGAGCTACAGATTTCTGTTTTTTTTATAAATTTTATACATCATGTACTTGTTCACTGTTTTTCAAAACTACTTCATTGAATTCAGTTTTTAACTATCATCAGAAGGCCTTTATTAGGTATATAGAAAGTATTGTATTAAGCGAATTATTATATTGACTTAATAAATTCCTTTTGACACTTTGGGTAGGAATTCTTTGTAACGACGATTCCTCTCATCGAACGTTAGTAAATAACATCTAGTGCTGTGTGTTCTTCTGTAGTACACGAAGGTTACATTAGCAAGTTTGTAGTCGGAGTCTCTGCATACATTAATTTATATACGACTAGATTTACAAGTGCAATATAATGTGTGGAAATGAACATCACGTTATGATAATTAATAAGATTTGGAAGAAAAATGTTGTTTTTAATATTTTATTCAATAATAATATATAATTCATAATACATCTAAAAAAATTAACCAAACTCTCAATATTCCTTCTATAACGACTGTGAGATCTGCGGTTTGGTTTAAATGAGAAGGAAATGGTTATAGAAAATACTCATTAGTAGACGTAGAAGAAAGCTGGAACAGAAAAAGATCTCACCTTGTAAAAGAAGTCGCAGTAAGGGTTATTTGTGTTTTCAAAAACTCTCTTGAAATAATTAAAATAATTTGGTTATAATTAAAATAACATAATAATTTATAATATGGAGTGACATTGGACGATCATGAAAAACGAGAAAAGACGCTTTCCTTTCTCATCTTCAACTCATTTTGAAAGTACTAATAAGTTCATTTCCAGGGAATAAGATTTCTAGTATAAGAGGCTTCATGAAAGTATTATTAACAAATTTACAAAGATCCTAAACTAAGTTCAAATACGAACGAATCTATACGAACAAATAGCAAAAACACTCGTCTACAGTCAGTAGATGGAATAGCTTTTCATATCAAATACGTCTAAATTAAAACATAGTTATAATTACTGACCCAAAAAGAGACAACAACCTAATGACAAAGGTTTTAATTTAAGTGTTAATTTATTTCCTCTATGAAGGATGTCCGTCTGTTGAACAAGAGATTGTGACGGAACTGATCTTTCTCAAATTATGTTAGCTAGTTCAAATACATATTTTCTTTTGTTACTTTAGTTTTATAACATGCAAAGAAAATATTTTATTCTAATAAGAAAATTTTCAGCTGATATCTTTAAGTGGTCTACTGTACACGACCAATTAGTTCATACTGTTTTAGTCATCTGTAACACTCGCAAGGTGTTCTGCTGTTAAAGTAAGTAGTTTAACAATTTTCTTTATGATTTCAGCTAACTGTCAGTCCTGTGTGATACGCTCCATTGTCTCCGGCTCGCGATGGACGACCCTGAACGGATCGCACGCGACGCGGCTCTGTGCGAGCGACTCAATAACGACACCGCGCCACCAGCAGGTTCACTTTGGATACTTTATTATGTTATGTTATTAGTAATCGTGTTACATGAACCCAATCCAGGGTAGGAGTATCCATCTCTAAGCCTCACGCAGCAGAATAGGGGAGCATGCATACTAAAATATATCGAGGCATTACTTGCCAGTCAAGGCAAACTCTAAGAATTCTAAAGATGCACTGTGATGAGACTAATCTTTCTTATAAAATATAATTTTTATTTTGTTTCATGGTGCGTAAACACACAATCAGATCTGTTAGGTATGGCGCGGAACACTTACAGTCGACCCTAACGATGAATAGTACTTGTAAAATGTAAATTCGTTGTCAAAAGTCAAATATTATGAATGCGTTCAGAATGAAAATTTGTGTTAAAACTTGAGATTGAACAATCTACATAAAATATTTTGATGGATAGTTAAAAACTTTCAAATTTATTCACCTCTAGGACTTTTACAACGAATTTGAGCCCAAAATTAGATAAATCTAATTCTAAAAGACTAACGAACAGTAATACATATACATACATATAGTTATGATTGTAACAAAACATTAAAAATATAGTCGTCTTAAAAACCTACATTTAAATAACAAACCAAACCTTAACTGGAACAAATTTGTTTTCAAAAGTTTTAACTAATGGTTATCTCAAACCGAGTCACCGTTTAACTTAAATTTAATTTACAAAGACACTCACAATTAATAGTGTGAACGAATCATTTCCCATGAAAAAGTCAACAAACCAATGTCATATATATATAGATAAGAATATAATATGTATATGTAAATATATAGAGCATATTCTCAAGTGACTTGTTTTCGATTTCAAACTCTTTTTTTATATAAATTTATTTTATTTTATTTCTATTTCAGGTGTTTACTGTGAAGGCACGTTCGACTCTTGGCTATGTTGGCCGCACACACCCGCCAACTCTACCGCCTTCGCCGCCTGTCCAGAGTTCGTACCTGGCTTTAGTCCCGAACGTACGTTAATTATAAAAATAATGAAATACATATAAATACAACAATCAAAATGATTATGATCCAAAATACAGTGTTTTTTCTTTTTTTAGTTTTTGCACATAAGGAATGTACTGTAAATGGAACGTGGTGGAATCATCCAGAAACGGGTAGACCGTGGTCTAACTATACGACTTGTGTGAAGCCAGAAGACGTAAGTGATCACTTAGTCATTACAAAAAGATAAATGAAATGATACGTGGACCTTCTTTCCGTGTGTAGGACGTCAGCGACATCATCGCGGTATACGAGACAGGCTACAGCGTGTCACTGGTCGCTCTGTTACTCTCGCTGGGAATACTGTCCTACTTCAAGTAAGATTTTGCCTTGATGTTAGCATTATGTCGCTTAAATAGAGGAGCATAATTTAAGCTATTTATTGTTATTATCTTTTCAGAAGTCTACGATGTGCCCGAATTACTGTTCATATGAATCTGTTCACGTCTTTCGCGTTCAACAACGCCCTGTGGCTGGCGTGGTACGCACTAGTTGTTCGGTCACCGGAAACACTCCGGGACTCACCGGTGTGGTGTCGTCTGCTGAATGCTACGCTTCAGTATGCACTGCTCACCAACTACACCTGGATGCTCTGTGAAGGCTTGTACCTCCATACCGTGTTGGTGAGCGCGTTCGTGTCCGAGCGGCGGCTGGTGCGCTCGTTGCTTGCAGCTGGATGGCTGCTCCCGGTACTTCCTGCCATCATACACGCAGCACGACGGGCTGCTGCCGATGAGCCGTTATGTTGGGCCGACGAGGGAGCACCTCGCCCAGAGCTGGCCGTTCTAGTGTGTGTGGCCGTCTTGCTCAATTTGGCCTTTTTATGCAACATCGTACGCGTTTTGTGTACAAAGCTGAGGGCAGGCGGCGGTGCAGGCGTAGCGAGGCCCTCCGCCACGGCGCTACACGCCCTGCGCGCCACTTGCCTTCTAGCTCCACTTCTCGGCTTACAGTACCTGCTGACGCCGTTCCGTCCTCCTCGTACCGCTAGCTGGTGGCTCGCTTACGAGTACCTGTCCGCTCTCACAACATCTCTCCAGGGCCTCTGTGTCGCCGTACTCTACTGCTTCTGCAACGGAGAGGTGTTAGCGCAACTGCGGCGTCGTTGGCGCATTTTAACTTTTCGACCGAGAGCTAATTCTACGACGAACACCACGGTATCGGTAAGCATACGACTTGTATATTGACTACTATTACCAATATAACAAAACTATTAACGTAGTGTAAATGATACTTTTGTTCAGTTCGTCCGCTCGGCCGGTGCGGGAGCGGGAGAGGAGAAAGTGTGACTGGCGGTAGGCGGCGCGGGCACCGAAGACGATCCAGATGTTGAGGGGGAGGAGGAGGGTGCGGGGAGAGGGAGACGGATCCGCTTCCAGTGTGCCGAGAATGGGGAAGACGCGCCGCCACATACTAGACTACTTTAAGTGAGCTACTATTGTGGACTACAGACATGGATTGAAGTGTTAAATACTTATAAAGTTTTGCTTGGAGGTGCCCACAGACATATGTATAAATGAACAAAGTGTTGAGGAAAAACTTAATGAATACCTAATGCATATAGAATGAAAATATCTGTACATTTTATTAAATTATGATGTTATAAAAGTTTTGTAAATTATGTATAAGGTTGTATGTGAAAAATGTTCAAGATGTATGGAAATAAAATTTTATTATGTTTATTAAATCCCTACTAATAATATTATAAATGCGAAAGTAACTCTGTCTGTCTGTCTGTCTGTCTGTCTGTCTGCTACGCTTTCACGCCTAAACCACTGAACTGATTTTAATGAAATTCGGTACAGAGATAGAGTTGACCTTGAGAAAGAACATAGGATAGTTTTTATCCCAGACTTTTGAAAGGTTCTCTTGGAAACGCGATATAACCGAACTCCACGCGGCGAAGCTGCGGGCGGAAAGCTAGTATTTCTATATTTTGTTGGGGTGTGAGGTTCGACTTAAGCACCGAGTATTTCAAGGCTTATATTAAAATGTTAAGTCATGTATTATTTTTATAATATATGTATAAGGTGCGTACTTCCTTGTACTTCAAAATAAATATATATTTGATATAATATCACGTGTATATTAACATATTGGAATCTTCTATATATATAAAAATGGATTGCTGTTCCTTAGTCTCGCTAAAACTCGAGAACGGCTGAACCGATTTGGCTAATTTTAGTCTTGAAATACTCCTGGAAGTCCAGGGAAGGTTTAAAAGGTGAGAAAAATTGGAATGATTGCCGAAAAAACCCTAAAAACAGCCCTTCTCTATTTCCCATACAAACGATTTTTTGACATTAGACTTGACAACTAACTAATATGTCAATCATTCTGTTCGATTGAAACAGGAGAAACCTGATTATTAATGGCCTCTAAAACGGAATAGAGTTCGCCCGGTCAGCTATACATATATTACTAATAACGAAACTAACGCGGACGAAGTCGCGGGCAAAAACTAGTAATGAATATTTATTGTACAAACGAAACAATTTACCTTATAAAACCGTACATGACTATTCAAAGAATTCATAAAATAATGAAGTAAATAATGTTATTGACAATTTTGCCAACTCTTACTACCTTGTAAATTAACACGAACAGATAGACGGGTCACGGGTTCACTTTAAAACAATTACGGCTATAATATTAAGAATATTTTGTTGTTTTTTTTTACAATTCTTATGGAACAGCTTCGACGTATTTGTTGTATGTAAATGAATAAATTGTAACACATATAATGTAATGAATTTTGTAAAATACAACATATTACGTTACTGATCTTTTTGTTTTTCTTGCTGTCATGGTCACCGTGGTCACTAAAACTATCTTATAACAGAGTAACTTTCCATATATGACGAGGAAATATTCTTAACCGATCGTCGTCTCCCCTCAAAGATGATACAAACCATCTAAATATGGATAAAATTTATGAGGAAGTTATTCTATGATCCTGTCAGATGATGCTGTAAGGGTCGCTCCAGATACTGAGAAGGTAACAAAAATTTTCGAAACTTAAATGATGCTGTTCGGATTAAATATCGACGCGCCGTCATCTTTATATATATAATTCTTCTATGAGTGTGTATGTCACTGAAGTTCTCTTAAACGACTGGAAATTTATTGATGAAATTTATTGTTTGTGTTCAAGGGGATCTGGGAATGGTTTAGATTCACAATTTAGTCCGCTGGACAATGTTTTTTTAATAAATTTATAATTTACTAGAAGACCTGGCGAACTTCGTATCGCCCTATAATCAAGAAATATCTATTACATTTTTTTATTTATATTTTTGGAGTTTACCTGTAAGCCATAAATCTCCGTGTTTTGAAGTGCGACAGAATGAATGACAAAATGACCGTGATCACTCACATCTCGTCTGCCCGTGATCACGGTTGCTGAAAAGTAGCCGAAACATCGGGAGTATGTAATTTCTAAAATAAAACGCGAAGTAAAATCCGAAAATATTAGTTTCATTTAAACGTGTAACATAATTAACGCACACCCTCAAACACCCCAATTAGAATATAATAATATAAACGCAATGCATACACCAAATATTGTTTATATGTGCGTTATTTATTTGTGAAATTAGTTATCCCAATTTCGTGCAAATAATATGGTCAGCTATTCACCAATACTCCAACCAACGCGTGATTTGATTAGACACCACAATACCTACGACAAAGTCGACGTGTTTATATGGTGTGAATCAAAATATTAACAATAATTTAAAGATCATAAACAAAATTACAGTTTAATTTGTACTCGCACGGCGTTGTTGTTTTAAAACATTTTCAAAATGTCCACCGCCTTGTTCAATGCACTTTAATGACCGTTTTCGCAATTGTGGTTTTCTTTTAGATAATACTGCAGTGTCACTTTTCACTTTTACAAAGGCGGTAATTATCTTATTTTTTAGTTCCTCGACACTTGTTGTCTCTGTGTTATAAGCGAGAGATTTAATTCGCCCCACAAAAAAAAGTCGAGTCGCGTCAAATCAGCTGATCTAGGAGGTCAATGGACACGTGCGTAGGTATTTGATGTGTGCCGACTGTCGCTGTGCGTGCGTAGATATTTGTAAAATACTATTTTAGCCTTGAAACAAGTATCAGTTTTCTTAAATTGAATGATGATTACTAATTTATTATTTCATTTTTAAGATCTTAATACTCTGAATATCCTTATCCTAAATATCCAAGAATTTCCGCATTAATCAATTTACTCAAATTAATGACGAACTAAGCAATATAGATATAGTTCAATATGTACCTATTTTAGTAGTATTATAGTAGTACCTATTGTAGTTCAATAGGAAAAAGCTTATTTAAAATATAGATGACTATTATTTTAAGTTTAAAATTAGCGTTAAAGGACCCCTGGTGTTGTAAGATTTGATTGAAATAGATCAAGAACAAGAATCTATAGTAATAAATACATTGGAAAAACATATAGAAGAACTTTTATGTGTGCCAGATTTATTATTCGATAAATCTGTCATCTTCACGGTCATGAAACTTAAAATTTTGTTAAATTGAGTGACTTTAGTCGAACATAACTGAAGTTTTTACTACTTCAAGGAATTCGATCTAAAAACTATATATTTAGTAGGAATTAAAGATAAAAGCGTTAGGTTTGGGACGGGTTCTCCAAAAGAGGCTAGAAACGCAATCCCTGAGGTTTTGAGTGTATCATCTGAGATCTGAAAGCACGTGACTAAAATGAAATATTGAATGTACTATTGTCTTAGAGAATATTAAAATATACTGTAACTTTACAGGACAAATTCTAACATCATATGTTCCTGGGTCCAGAAGACTGGTTCTGTGTATCAAAAGCTAACTTCAAGTGACCTGAGACCGAGGCAATGGCTTTCATTCATTTTGACCACGACTGACGACGTGGTGACACAACTCAGGAGCCACAGAAAAGCACCAACTGAATATGATAGTAGTGTAACATGAACAAATTAATATTTTCTAGTTTTTCTTCAACAAAAAATTTACTAATCCAAAAATTTATCATAACTACAAATAGAACCGAAACAGTAAATAATTTAAAGTAAGATCATTGAAAGACAATCGACAAATTTATTTATATTTATTTGACAGATCAAATGAGTGTTGTATAGACGACATCGGCTGTTTTGTATAAACGCTAATGTTTTGTTTTTATATTGTTGTTGGAAAACTTATATAATATACTTAGGAAACACACTTTTAAATTGAACCGAACCTTTAAATTCCCAACGCATCCAAAGTGATGTTGAAGCGGTGACGCTCAGTGTTGCCAGATGAGGCTATATAGCGCCAATGGGGCCATCTCCCTTACCGAGTGGCGATATTATTTTATCCGCTGAAATCAGGTATGAGGTAGCCGATTTGATTTGATATTAGCAGGTCAAGGAGAGGCATATTGGTGCCGGGTGAATTTACGTGCTCATAAGCATGATTTAAAAGTTCATTGCAGCAGAAAAACTCATCAACACAAGGCAACAAGTTTAACTAGTAAAATACAGAAAAAGTTAACTGAAACATGTAAATTATTTTAAAAACAAAGTGCAATCAATAAAAATAAAAAAATCTAGACCATTTGTATTATAAAAGAATTTTATTTGTATTTAAAATATTAATAAAACCAATAATAAGCTCATGAATTTATTTCAACTTTCCCGCCTAGCTACCTGTGCGCCATGATGGGGCTATCTCGGGGTTACACGCGAGCTCCAGCGGAGCGATTCGAGAAAAAAATATTCTGGTAACACTGATAACTGATGACGACAGTGTTTCCACATTGAGGGGAAATTAGGAAATTTAGGGGAAATTAGGGTCAAGAGTGAAAAGAAAAGGGGAAAGACTATAAAAGGGGAAATTAGGGAAATCAAAGATAAATGAGGGTTTTGAGGAGGAGACGTAAAATATTATTTTGTGCAAAAATGTATGCGCTGACAGTGTTAACTGATTTGGAATAAAAAATGACTATACAACTCCATTTTTGTTTTTATTATATTTCTGGTCAGTCTGTAAATAAAACACAAATACGATAAATCTTCTATATATATAAAAATGGATTGCTGTTCCTTAGTCTCGCTAAAACTCGAGAACGGCTGAAACGATTTGGCTAATTTTAGTCTTGAAATACTCCTGGAAGTCCAGGGAAGGTTTAAAAGGTGAGAAAAATTGGAATAATTGCCGGGAATACCCTAAAAACAGCCCTTTTCTATTTCCTATACAAACTTTTTTTTTGACATTAGATTTGACAACTAACTAATATGTCAATCATTCT